TTGATTTCCTTTAGGATTGACTGGTTTGATTTCCTTGTAGTCCAAGAATCTCAGCAATCTTCTCCAACACCACAATTCAAAAGCATCAATTTTTCAGCACTCAGCCTTCTTTATGGTCCAGCTTTCACATCCATACTTGACTACTGAAAAAGCCATAGCTTTGCCTATATGGACCTTTGTCAGCAAAGTAATGTCTTTGCTTTTTAATATACTGTCTTGGTTTGTCATAGTTTTTCATCCAAGGAGTAAACATTTTTTAATTTCATGGCTGAAGTCACTGTCAGCAGTGATTTTGAACCCCAAGAAAATAAAACCTGACACTGACATTCCTCTTACATTGAGCCTTCTATTGCCATGCTCTGCATGCTTCCACTTCCCTTGTTTACATTTTCTTCCCGTAGGCATTTGTCTAACACTTCGGCATCTTGGTTTCCTATCCTTTTCCTTGCTCTTCACACTTCATCTTCTGTGTGTGTGCACTCAATCATATCTGACTCTTTGCACCCTATGGACTGGGTCCTGCCAGGCTCCTCTGTCCATGGAATTGTCTCAGGCAAGAATGCTTTAGTGGCTTGCCATTTCATTCTCCAGGGGATCTCCCCAACCCAAGGATTAAACCCAAATCTCCTGCATTGGCAGGTGGATTCTTTACCACTGAGCCACCTGGGAAGCCCCTTCATCTTCTATTAAGGCACAGTTCAAAATAAATGCCTTACTGAATTTCATCTCGCTAAGAAGAGGTGCAGGTAATTCCTTCCTTCTCTGGGCTTGTGCAACCCTTTATCTAGGTTTCTCTAACTAAACTTGTATTACTTAACTACTAACATCAGCTATTCATTTACAGTTCTTGGTTCTCTTCTATTTCTCTAAGCTCCAGAAGATTGTCTTTTTCTCCTCCTTAAGTTTCCCTATCCATTGAATATATTTTCCTATTTGTATGATGAATGAATTAGCAGAGAACAAGCCCATTCATAAACACAAAAATGAACAAAGTATAATTTAAGCAGAATATAGTTTTTGCTTGATTTTCTTTGAGTTTTGCTTCTCCTCTGACCTTTGGTCATCAGACCCAGGTAGGGAACCAGTGGCCAACCTATTTTGCATATCTGGTTCTACTAAGGTGTAATGTGTATCTCCACCTCCTCAAGCAGAATTCCTTTCTGGATCCTGGAATAGTTATGGGGCAAGTTTTAAGACCTCTAGCATTGCCTTAGGGTACTTAAACTAGCTGAGACTGGGTCATTTCACAACCCATGAAACTCTTAACACTTGGAATGCTTCTTTGTGCTACTGGAGTTTTCTGGCTACTTTTAAAAAGGTTTCAGGAAACAGCAACTTGAGAATATCTCTTGGGTGGATCTGAATCTCATTTCATGAACTCAAGAATGCAAGAAGTATAACTTGATCTATATTTCAAGCCTTCATTCTTTCAGTTCAGTTCAGTTCAGTCGCTCAGTCGTGTTCATTCTTTAGGTAGAACTTAATTCCAATGAATTTAGGTATTCCTCCATCACTGTTTTCTTTCAGGTTTTGGGGTGTTTTATATATTGAAGCATAATACTTTGGGTGGTGGGGGGAGGCATCTGGGTACACATCCTCAGCCCACATTCCCGTTCCACCTGGTCCTTGGTGTTTGGTTCCTACAAGTTGCCCTGGGATATCCTTTGTTCTTATTTATGAAAGCCTTTCAGATCTATTAGTGCTCTCTTCTGTTCCTGTTGGACCCTTGAGAGTGTGTCATGGGCCATGGATAATGGAGAAGTTGTCTCAGACACATCTGCAAGACATTCATGCAACCTTGCTATTTTTGTGCCTTTTGGGCACATGGAATTGTTCTGCTGCTCCTCTACCAGCTGGAACCCAAGGAGCTCTTTGAAGTCATTTGAGGCACCACCTTCCTAGACATATCCTGAAGTCAGTCTTCCCGAGAGTCTTGCCTTTTTCCAGGGTTCTGTCTTGGGCATGAGACACATGTCTATTGCTCTCAGATTCCATAGACATATCTGAGGGTTGCTGTGTCCCAAGATTCTTTTTTCGTTGAATCTCAGATATCAATCCTTACATTCCTCATTTCATCTCCAATACTTTTTCCTTCCATCTCCCACCACCTAGCTTGGAGATTCACTTTCTATTCAGGCGACTTCTTATTCATCATGTAATCTTCTAAATCGTCTGTTTTTTGTTTTAATTTTCCAAAGGATGTAGGCTTTTGAAAATTAAAAGCAGGAAAATGCTCCTGTTTGTTTGCTATTTGTTCCCATATTCCTTCCTTCCTTCCTGAGGTAACAACTACAGAAAGGCTTGGCTACTGATTTTATTTGCTGGACAGTTACCACAAGATATCACATACACAGGAGAATGTCATCCTATCCTGGGTAGTTTTCAGAGCAGCTTCCTGGATGCACACTGTTCTCAACAAGCATCTCTAGGGTAATTCTGTATGTCCTGCAGTTCTCTCACAGTTCCCGGAATCCAGCTTCTATACTGTTTAGTCTCTAAGCTTCTTTTCTCTCTTCCTCAGAAGGAGGAAAATAATAGAACTGTAGCCAGAATGCAACAACCTCTCCTCACACTATAGGCACTCAGGCAGTAATAACTATTATTAATAATAGTAATAATAAATTGGTTAATGACTGATTGCTATTTGATTTTCTCTATTTTCAAATTTTGAAACAAACTCACTGTTATCTGTAGGATAATGATTTTTCATTCTCACATTTATCAATGAATTCCATTAGCACAATTTTAACACCCAACTAGCCTTTCTTACATGCATCTACTTACCTTTTTCTCCTTCATAAACAAACTGTCCCTTCTCCAATGAGCATTTTTGTCCCTTGTCAATGTTGTAAAACAATGCAGATAGTTGTTCAGAAACCCCATTAATGTCAGTAATCGTAAGCTAATACAGCAGAAGTGCTTTAGGAAAGGTATGAGCAGATTGAGATAAGTCTGGCATGGAATACGTAAGGGGAACCTGGAGTGGATTCTATGTAAAATGAATAATCTACTGTAATCTTACTGTTTTGTAAAGACAGTTCACTTGTTTTACAGCTTTCCTTTAGTTGAAGAAACTCATATAATTTGTTTTAAATATTTAATAAAGTCTTCATTTAGCAAAAGCAAAAAATGTAGTCCATAAAGTAATGAGTCAAGCCTGCCATTTCTTTGTTCATATTTTATTATTTCATGCCTATTGAGCTACTTTGGCTGTGAGAAATAGAATTGATCTTGTGTGTTTTCTGTTAATTCACAAGGGTTTATTGTGTGAAGTCTAGAAATTTTAGTGAATACAGAAATTCTCAACTAGGCCCCAGTGCATCTCCATATTCCCCCATTAGACTGATGTGTTACCACAAAACTCAAATGATGATTACCTCTTCCTAATTTGCCAAAGACTTTAAACCTTTAATTTTATGATTAGACTACTCTGTATATGTGTGTGTGTGCACAAACACATTTGTTTGTTTCATATCAAGAACAGTAAAAGTTGTTTTAACTTTTTCAATAAATTGGTCGATTGATACATACTGAAATTGAGTTATTTTATTAATACTCACTTGCTTTGCGGTTGCATATATTGGCAGCCACTAGATAGCAATGAAATTGCTGGAAAAACTGTTCATGGTTAGAGAAATTGCTTCTGGTTCTTGCTTTTCATGAACACTGGCTAATTGTTCTATAATGCAATCTTTCCAGCTCTTTTCATGACAGGGTATATGTATACAGTAATAATATTTTATATGAGATAGTGGGGTAAATGGCTCAGGAACTTGGCTGCCCAGAGACAGAGAGGATCAGTATCATAGCACATCTGCGTCCTCTTTGAGGCATAACAGTGTGCTCCATGCGTGTGCTGGGAAGCTGTATTATGGTGAATTGCAGATTACATAGAGCTCTTGTTTCTACTAGTGACATTGTCTTCTTGATCTTATGATGGCATTAAATATTTCACTAATCATCAGTGTTCTGTTTCATATTCTACAGAAGCACACTGTTACTCTTCATCTGCTCCCCTTCAAGTTTGAGAGCCACTAGGAGATACAGTATCTGAGTTCATGCTCTTGTGCCAGGAAGGTTTCTAATCACTCTGTGACACTTCTGAGCCTTTCTAGCTTGACTAGTCACTGGCTTCCAGATGGCTTCCAATTTTCTGACTTTGTAACATGGCCTGTAGGTCTTGCAAGGAGGTTATTTTTATAAGTGTACTCAATAGGAAGAGCTTGTATGAGGAGCAGAAAGAGGGCTGGGTCTCCTTTCCAACCAGATAACTTCCTGTGAACTCTTAATGCAGATCTCGATGGTCTCAGAGCTTAAAGGAGGAAGAGACAACAGGCTGCATGTTCTTTGCACATTTCTGCAAAGTTCCTGGTTATGTCTGAGCTGCTCTGCTTCCAAACTCCAGTGCTGCAGCCGACTCTGCTTCTTCTCCCTCACACACTCATTCCTTTCTCCTGCTCTCAAAACAATCACACTTAAATATATAAGCTTAAAAAATTTTTTAAATGCTTAACAGTAAATATAAAACTTCCTCTTTTTTATGTGTATTCAAATAAAGTATTCTTCCTTCACTCCTCATATGTTATTAGAAATGTGATGTGCTAATTTAGGATAAGGAAAGGGACTAAAAACTGGAATTCACAGTTCCCAGGTTTGAGTTGCAGAACTTCCAGTTAACCAGCAAGATGGGCACATTCAGCTAATTCAGCTAATCTAAGCACATTCAGCTAATCTAAGCCTGCTTGATAAAACAAGACTAGTGACACATTTCCCTCTCAGAGATTATCTGAAGATCAAAGAAGATCTCATATAAGAAAATACTCTGGAAGCTCAAGGAATGAAAGATAGAGACATTGTGTTATTTTATTGAAAGTGGCCGGTGAGTCCTCAAGGACAGTGGCAATTGCATGTAAGAATTCAAATGCTGAGGGTCCGTGAGTGTGGCTCAGGTGATGACAAAGCTGATGCACCCTCTCTCTCATTCCCCCCTCTTCCTCCAGAGCAACTTGATACACTACCTGGGCCTCAGTCATCATCTGCTCGCGCTGAACTTCATCATCGTTTCTTTTGGCAAGAAAAGTGCATGGTCGTCTGCTCGGGTGAAGGTGACTGACACTGACTTTGATGGTGTGGAAGTCAGAGTGTTTGAAGGCCCTCCAAAGCCAGAAGAGCCTCTGAAACGCAGTGTTGTTTATATCCATGGAGGAGGCTGGGCCTTGGCAAGCGCAAGTATGTCCTCACCTTTAGGTTGTTTGGGGTTGTGGCTGGTCCTGGCAGATATATGACTGGGTTGACTTTCTTACTGGGTAGGGAGAAGGGACCACTGGACTTGGTCCCCCTGGCGTCCCAGTTATCCCTACCATCCCAGCAAAGTTATTCATAGCATCCCCTCCTCCCCACTTTCCATTCTTGAAAGGATCCTGGTTTGGATGATTAGTTGTATAGCTACCCTACACCAAGAGTTTTGCCTGTTTGTTAATTCAGGCAGACTGTTTTGAAAATATTTCCTGTAATCTAAATCATACACTAACTTATTGTGAAGTACTGAAGTTGCTTTCTATACCCAAACAAGGTAAAGTTGGGCCAAAATATGAGGCAGGTATCTGTAGCTCTAGACTAACTTGTGTTTTGAAGACATCTTTCTATGAAATAGAACAAGGATTTCTGTGTATACATATTAACTCATCAACATTTTATCTGCTTATGAAACCAAAGATGAAAATATTAAATGTATGCCCCAGTTAAAAGGAAATGACCTTGAAAAGTTCAAGAACATTCTCTTTAGCATTGGATAACTTTCATGAGCAGAATACACATTAAAAATGGCAGGCAGCCAAGTGGAGCAGCCAGTGAAAAGCATACTAAGGAGGAGAGATAAGGGCCTTGCCTCTGCTCATAATTGTTATGGAGCTACTTTCTCATCTTCAGCCCAGAGATTATTTTCATCCATTAAGTTTAAAGGCTATGGTGGGACTTCCTTGGTGGTCCAGTAACTAAGACTCCACACTACCAATACAGGGCGCCTAGCTTCAGGAAACTAGATCCCACATGCTGCAACATGCCACAGTTAAACTCCAGTGCAGCCAAATAAATAAATGTTGTTGTTTTTAGTCACTCAGTCATGTCCAACTCTTTGCAGCCCCATGAACTGTGGCCCACCAGGCTTCTGTGTCCATGGAATTCCAGGCCAGAATACTGGAGTGGGTTGCCATACCCTTCTCCAGGGGATCTTCCCAACCCAGGGATTGAGCCTGGGTCGCCTCCTTTGCAGGCAGATTCTTTACTGGCTGAGTCACTAAGGAAGCAAAATACATAAATAACAGTAAAGTTTTTTAAAAAGAGGCAAAGGCAACTTGTTCTGGTTTGTCTTTAAAAAAAAAAAAAAGTGGCAAAGGCCAAAAAGTGTCACTTTCTCTAGTAATCTCATTTCATTTAACTCCATATTCATCATTTGTTCTTTTATTCATTGATTTATTCACATTTCCAACAGATGATTACTGAATATATAGGTCTGCCCAGGGCCGAGAGGTTTCCTGGGGTATAGGACTTTGGGTACAAAACCTCAAATAGTTGTATGCAAACCTGGACCTTTGGTTACTCTAATGTGTGCTGGATGATGGGGAAACAAAAATGAGTAAAAGAGTCTCTGCCCTAGAAAAGATTGCATCTGTAGCCTTGGACGCTTGCCAGGAGAGACAGTACACCAGAGGCCAGGATGTGGAAGTGCCAGGAATGGTATGGATTATGAGTCAGCCTAGCCTTTTCCACACAGTTTTGACTCATCAGTCCCATCAGAGAGGAAAGGCTCAGTCTGGAGGAGATATGCAACTGTTTATGTAGTTATTGAACTTCTGGTTCTAATACTGCCTTGGAAAGTCTATAAATAAGGTATATTTTGGCTTTCTGTTGAGACAATCTACCACTTAATGTAAGACTATTAATAGATCCAAAGAACAGCTAAGGGATTAAAGTTTTACATATTAAAATATATAAAAACTTTTGGATTCTCTTTCTAAGAAATGCTAAGACTTCCTAAAACTCTATTTGTTATATGTTGGTTTAAACAGAATACCATAGTCTTCAAATTGGTGACTTTTCTGAATCATAGCAAATGAGGGTATTAAAAGAAAATTTTTGGTTCTAAGGAGGAACTGCTTATTCACTATGATTTTTGGAAATTTTTCAAATTCTCTTTGAAGAATTACAAAATCAGAATGAATCTAATGTACTTTATATAGACGATTATGAAAGAAATTTTTAGTTAAAAACACATTTGAAGGTAATCTAGTATGGATTTCCTGTTATTTTATAGCAATTGCATTTTATCAGAAACCAGGTTAATTCTTTTGTATTTGTACTTGTACCTCTGTTAATGAGATGTATGTTCATATTTACTTTTGATTGTTCTTACTATTAATAACTTAAGTCTGAGTCTAAAATAGTCCACAGTTAGCAAAATTTAACAATGAGCAGTATTAAATAGACTTCTTTATAATGAGTGATTGCTCTCTTGTCTCTTTTAGAAATCAGGTATTATGATGAACTGTGCACAGCCATGGCTGAGGAATTGAATGCTGTCATTGTCTCCATTGAGTAAGTAATTAATGATTGTCATACAAGAAAATTTAAGAAAGGATCCTAAGTAACTATCTAGTTACTTTATTTTACAAGTGATAAAATCTAAACTTAAAGTCCAGAGAAGTGAACTGATCTTCCTGAGGTCACAAAAAATGATTTCCGATGTAACGTAGAATTTCTTGAACTAGCTTTATAATGCCTCAAATTATTTTTTTTTACTTTAGTTTTAGAAACTTCTGGAAAAGAAATTTACTGAGATTTTGAGAGAAATATGCAATCAGTCATCTATAGTATATAGTTTGATTACTGCCTTTTATATCTAAAAACCAATAAACACTTTAAGAGAATCTCTCCTATATCCAAGAGTTGGAAAAGGTATTCTCCTGGAGTTAGGTTCTATAACTCAGACCTTGTAAACAGTGATGTGTTCACTATTCTTAGTGTAGCCTATTATTATCATTATTAGTATTAATATCAGTGTTTTGAGTTGCTTCTACCAGTTCTATATTAGCTGTTTTTCTGGGAAACTAAGAAGAATGTGCCCAAAGAAAGGCAGTGCCAAAGAATGCTCAAATTGTTGCACAATTGCACTCATCTCACATGCTAGCAAAGTAATGCTGAAAATTCTCCAAGCCAAGCTTCAACAGTACATGAACCGTGAACTTCCCGATGTTCAAGCTGGATTTAGAAAAGGCAGAGGAACCAGAGATCAAATTGCCAACATCCACTGGATCATCGAAAAAGCAAGAGAGTTCCAGAAAAATATCTACTTCAGCTTTATTGACTATGCCAAATCCTTTGAATGTGTGGATCACAATAAACTGTGGAAAATTCTGAAAGAGATGGGAATACCAAACCATCTGACCTGCCTCTTAAGAAATCTGTATGCAGGTCAGGAAGCAGCAGTTAGAACTGGACATGGAACAACAGATTGGTTCCAAATCGGGAAAGGAGTACGTCAAGGCTGTATATTGTCACCTTGCTTATTTAACTTATATGCAGAGTACATCATGAGAAATGCTGGACTGAAGCACAAGCTGGAATCAAGATTGCTGGGAGAAATATCAGTAACCTCAGATATGACACCACCCTTATGGAGAAAGCAAAGAAGAGCTAAAGAGCATCTTGATGAAAGTGGAAAAAGAGTGAAAAAGTTGGCTTAAAACTCAACATTCAGAAAACTAAGATCATGGCATCTGGTCCCATCACTTCATGGCAAATAGGTGGGGGAAGAATGAAAACAGTGACAGACTTTATTTGGAGGGGGCTCCCAAATCGCTGCAGATGGTGATTGCAGCCATGAAATTAAAAGACACTTGTCTCTTGGAAGAAAAGCTATGATCAACCTAGATAGCATATTAAAAAGCAGAGACATCCCTTTGCCAAAAAGGTCAGTCTAGTCAAAGCAATGGTTTTTCCAGTAGTCATGTATGGATGTGAGAGTTGGACTGTAAAGATAGTGGAGTGCTGAAGAATTGGTGTTTTTGAACTGTGGTGTTGGAGAAGACTCTTGAGAGTCCCTTGGACTGCAAGGAGATCCAACCAGTCCATCCTAAAGGAAATCAGTCCTGAATACTCATTGGAAGGACTGATGCTGAAGCTGAAACTTCAATACTTGGGTCACCTGATGGGAAGGACTTATTCATTGGAAAAGACCCTGATGCTGGTAAAGATTGAAGGCGGGAGGAGAAGGAGATGACAGAGGATGAGATGGTTGGATGGCATCACTGACTCAATGGACATGAGTTTGAGTATACTCCAGGAGATGGTGATGGACAGGGAAGCCTAGTGTGCTGCATTTCATGGGGTCACAAAGAGTTGGACATGATTGAGTCACTGAACTGAACTGAACTGAAGAATATGAAAAATAGTTTTAAGAGCTTCAGTGATCATAGTAACACAAAAATCATGGTGTTCCATGGCAGACATGTGCAGGTGCTATGTGTACACTGTTTCTCCTCCTTTTTGTCCAAATATTGTCCTTTCAACAGGCCTTCGTTCACACCCCTAAAATTTCAGTCCACTTTTCTTCTATTTTTCTCCAAAATTATCAATTAAAATTCTCCACATTTTCAAAACTATCTCCAATTATCAGTGGACTGACAGACCATATATATAACTTATTATGTGTTTATTGTATCAGGTAGAAATAGAAGATGTAAATTTTGTGAAGGCAGAGAATTTAGGGATGGTTGTCTGCTTTGCTCATAGCTGATCATTAGTGTCTGGAATTGTCCCTGGAAGATAGAGGACATTTGTGATATTGCAATTTGTAAGAAATATATGTTTTGTCATACAGCTGACCAAATATGTATTTTTCATATGTACTTGGTCTTCATCCAAAGTTCCTGGTTCACAGCTCCCTAGATCCTTGAAATTTCCTGTATTCAGAGTATTAAAGATGTCTTTGTTTTGTGAATGAGATGACCTTTGGAAGCACCTAAGGATGGGGATACTGGTTGCCAGGAGAACCAACCATGTGATTAGAGGGCTGGAACTTTCCTACACCCTGGTCTCTGAGGAGGGGAGAGGGGCTGGAGGCTGAATCAATTGCCAGTGGCCAGTGATTTAATCAGTCATACCTATGTAATGAATCTTCCGTGAAAACCCAAAGGACAGGGTTCAGAAAGCTTCCGCTTGGTGAACACATGTAGATGGGAGAGTGGTACATCTTTGAGAGGACATGGAAGCTCTGAACCCTTCCCATGTACCTTGCCCTTCATATCTCTTCCATCTGGCTGTTCCTGAGCTATATCCTTTTATAATAAATCAGTAACCTAGAGAGCAAAACCTTTCTCTGAGTTCTGTGAGCCACTCTAGCAAATTAATTGAGCCTGAGAAGGAAGTCGTGGAACCCTCTGATTTATAGCCAGGTGGTCAGAAGTACTTGGTCTTGGGGTTGGCAGCCTGTGTTGGAGGGGATTGTTGGAACCTCCGGTCTATAACTTGCTGAGAAGCATAGGTGATTAATTGGGCTTGTGTCTGGTGTCTTAAGTAAGGGGGGCATCCTACAGTTTTGTAGGTGGTGGTTTAGTCACTAAGTTGTGTCCAACTCTTTGTGACCCCATGGACTATAGCTCACCAGGCTTCCCTGTCCATGGCATTTTCCAGGCAATAATACTGGAGGGGGTTGCCATTTCCTTCTCCAAGGGATCTTCCCAACTTGACCCAGGCATTGAACCCAGGTCTCCTGCATTTCAGGTGGTCTCCTGCATTGCAGGCAGATTCTTTACTGACTGAACCACAGAGAACAATTGTTGATCCCTTAATCTGTGGAATTTGATGCTATTTCCATAGATACTCTCAGAATGAGTTGAACTGTTAGACACCCAACTGATGTCTGGTGCATTGCTCAATGGAGGTATGGGACAAGCCCCTCCCCTACCCCAGCCCCCCAGCAAACAAACACACATTGAAAATTAGTCACAAAACACCAGAAGAGCCTTTAATACCTCTTTATGGAATGAATGAATAGAGTTTTGCTTAGCTCTCGTAAAAGTCATCAAAAATAAGTATTTTGATAATTTTCCTCATAGATGAGGAATCTGAGGTCCATAAAGTTAAGTAACCTGCGTGAAGTCACATTGGTGGAGGGAAGAATTGAATAAATCAGGTGGACTCACACCTCATGCTCCTATGCTTCTTTGAGCTCGAATCAGACTAACATTGAAGGGCTTCTTGTTCAAGGTGGTGGAGTAGAAGGACGTGTGCTCTCTCCTCATGTGAGAACATCACAATCACAAATAACTGTTGAACAACCACAGACAGGAGGGCGCTGGAACCCATCAAAAAGAGATACCCCACATCCAAAGACAAAGAAGAAGCCACAGTTGAGACAGTAGGAGCGGTACAATCAGGATAAGATCAAATCCCATAACTGCCAGGTGCGTGACCTACAAACTGGAGAACAGTAATACCAAAAAAGTTCTCCCACTGTTGTGAAGGTTCTGAGCCCCATATCAGGCTTCCCAGCCTGCAGATCTGACAAAGGGACTGGGAATCCCCAGGGAATCCGACCCTCGGGGTCAGTGGGATTTGATTATGGGACTTTCACAGGACTTGGGGAAACAGAGACTCCAGTCTTGGAAAGGGTACAAAAAAAATCTTGTGTGCACCAAGACCCAGAGGAAAGGAGCTATGACCCCACAGGAAACTGAATCAAAACACCTTCTAGTGTTGGAGGGTCTCCTGTGGAGGCTGGATCAGCAGGGGCTTACCCCAGGGATGGGGCACTGGCAGCGGCAGTCCTGGAAGGTCCCCCTTGGCATAGACCCTCTTGGAGGTCACTATTAACCCTACCATAGTGCCTGTATGGTAGACCCCAGGCCTAGGTTGCCTCAGGCACAACTACCAGGGAGGGAGTACAGTCCCACCCATCAGCATATAGTTGGACTAAAGCTTTACTGAGCAAGGCCCTGCCCACCAGAGCAAGACCTAGCTTTTCCCACCCTGTCCCTCCCATCAAGAAGCTTACAGAAATCTCTTAGACTCATACACCAGAGGGCAGACAGAAGAAGCAAGAAGAACTACAGTCTCACAGCAGCTAGAAAGAAAACCACATTACAGAAAGTTAATAAGGATGAAAAAGCAGAGTTATATCCCAGATGAAAGGACAATAATATAAAACCCCAGAAAAACAACTAAATGAAGTGGAGATAAGCTTCAGAATAATGATAGTAAAGATGATCCAGGATCTCAGAAATAGAATGGAGAAGATGCAAGAAATGTTTACCAAAGACCTAGGAGAACTAAAGAACAAACAAACAGAGATGAAAAATAGCCTAAAAGGAATCAGTAGCAGAATAACTAAGGCAGAAAAATGGATAAGTGACTTGGAGGACAGAATGGTGGAAATCACTGCTGCAGAACAGAATATAGAAAAAAGAATGAAAAAAAAAATGAAGACAGCCTACGAGACCTCTGGGACAACATTAAACACACCAACATTTGCATTATAAGGGTCCCAGAAGGAGAAGAGAGAGAGAAAGGATCTGAGAAAATATTTGAAGAGGTAA